TAGTGTATATGGACCACATCTTCCTTATCCATTCATCCGTTGAAGGGCATCTTTGTTCTTTCCACAGTTTGGCGACCGTGGCCATTGTTGCTATAAACATTGGGGTACAGATGGCCCTTCTTTTCACTACATCTGTATCTTTGGGGTAAATACCCAATTGCAGGGTCATAGGGAGGCTCTATTTTTAATTTCTTGAGGAATCTCCACACTGTTCTCCAAAGTGACTGCACCAACTTGCATTCCCACCAACAGTGTAAGAGGGTTCCCCTTTCTCCACAAACTCTCCAACACACGTTGTTTCCTGTCTTGCTAATTCTAACACAGAGCCAGAATTAAGGATTACTGGAGGAAGACATTCTTCATCCCCACATTCAGTGGTGGTAATAATCTTTTACCTTCCTGGCTACTAATAGGTACTAGGAGAGACAGAACATACGAACCTTCCAGGATACTGACTGGCCTATAAGAATGCTCAACGAATGTAAATGCTTAGTAGTTTAGAAACAACAATAGTGACTAAAAAAATGTGTCATTTTGTGTTATTAACTTACTCAAAAGCACTCTGTGATATTGATATCAAAGAAAGGTTAAGTGATAACAGAAGGCTGTGTGTGTGTTTGTGTGGTAGTGTGATATTGTGTGTTTCTGGGTTTGTCTGTGTGTCATTGTAAAATATGTATTTGTGTGTGTATTGTTGAGGATGAAATGTGTGTCTGTATATAAAAATTTGTTTTCAGGTGTGTGAATTTGAGAGAGCTTCACAGAGGAAAAGATGTGAAATGGACCTTACTGGTGAGCTTGTAGGATGTCCTATTCAGGGAGAATATAGAGGCAAAGAGAACCTTACCTGTCCTGGTACAATTGTGTGACTCAGCAGGATACACAGAGAATGGTGTGTAGACAATTGTGGCTGAGCCTAGTGTCCTGGGTGCTCTGGGATAGAGGCTAAGGTGTGCCCAGGGATGGAGCCATGGATGTCCTTGTTTGCAATGCAAATGGTGGGATTTGCTCCTCCCAGCAGAGTGTCTGCAGTCTGGGTATCTCAGAGTTTGCAAGATATCCATAATCCTTTCTGCTGGGCCTAGGTGTGTAGGCTGAATATGGAATATGTTTCACAAAAAGGGACCAATTTGAGTGTACATATTTTCTGAGGTGTTAAAAACGCACATTTATTATAAAGGCATTGCTAGCTAATAATTGATAGTAATAGATAGCTGGATCATGACCTGAGCTGAAGGCAGATGCTTAACTCTCTGAGCCACCCACGCACCCCATCACTCCATATATTTTATATGAAAGAGACAGAGGGAGATTGGCAGGCACAGAAGAGAAAAGGCAGTGTGACTTCAGAGAGCAGAGATTAGAGTGATGGGACACAAAACAAAGAATGATGGTTTCCACCCATCAGAGCTGGAAGCAGCCATCAGTAGATTTTCACCTCAACCTTCCAGAGGGTACGTGGCCCTCCTGATGCAATGATTTCTGCAACATGTTATAGATTTGGGACTCTGTCATCCAAATATTGAGAAAATAATTGGTGTTAATCACCACGTGTGTGGTAGTGTTTTGCAGTGGCCAGTGGAAACTAATCTAAATTGTCTGCATCAGGTGCTTCATGGGTTGGGGCATTAGTGAGAAAGAGTGGCTCATGGAAGGTAGAACAGGTGCAGGCAGGCAATGCATACAGTTTTCTACATTTCTTCTGAAGTAACTGTGGAGTCTTGAATGGAGTGGTGCAGATGACAGCTGGATGGGGTTTCTGGAACTCAAGGTAGAATGTGAGGGAAAAAGCATTAACCTGAGGTGTTGAGTGGTCTAGATGTTGATGAGCAATGTGCATGTGCAGAGTCAAAAGGTTAACTGAAGGTCAAGTCTGGAAAGTCACTGAAAATTGAGAAGTAGATGGAAAATAAATTATACCAAATAATTCATAGGCTTGAACCCAGAGTGATGGTGTGAGAACTGAGCAGTTTCGTTGTGGTTGTGCTAAGGACACAATATTAATGATGCTGGTGATTGGGAACCACATGGCTAGCCAGACAATTAGGCTATGGATATATTTCATACGAAAGCATTGCAGGAACATTTTAATTCTGCATTACCCTAAAACTTATTTTTGCCTGTGGCCATGTGAATAGGAAGTCTATAATCTGACGTAGGATGATTCCTGAGCAAATATTTCCTTTTGTGGTCCTTGCTCCCCAGGCTGCCATGGGTAACTGGATACTTAGTCTCTGAAATTTGCTACTGACAACACCCAAAGGCCACTTTATGACAATGACCACCCCAACTCAAGACCAGAGACTGTGGGATAATAACAAGACATGTAGAGTAGTGCAGAGAAAGTGATTTATTGGGTCAAGATGTTGAAACCTTTACATTTTCCAGAAGAATAGGTCATCATTACAGGACAGTTACTAGTACATAAGGTTCCTTATTTACAGTTCTCCATGGCTTTTGCCTGAAAGAAAGAGAGAGAAAATCAGCCATGCTGCTCCTCGGGATGAAACCTTAACACAGACTGTCACTCAGAAGTTGTTTGGTTTTCAACCAAAAAAGGGCAAGTGGAATGGGCAGAAGGCAGGAAACCAGGGAGGATGATAAACTAAATACATCTGACACAATTTCAACAATGATGTAAGTAAGGAAGATTTCATTTCCATAGTCTGGCAAATAAAGCCCGAGTTGACCCAAGAGTAAGACTCAGGTTTCTAATGGAAGGAGGAGCGGCTCAGAATGTTTTCTCTCTCTGCTGTCCTAGGGCAGAGGACTTTAATTTTTCACTGCAGTGGGGATATGGGGGTGAGAGACTGGAAGAGGGGTACAAGGGGACTTCAGGAATACTGTTTTCAGGGAAGTCCTAGGTTCAGGGTGTGGAAAATCAACCTGATGGCACATGTCTTCTCTCCACTGAAAACCCAGCCTCTGTGGGCCTTTGTGACTAAAACTCATGACCTAGATCCAGCAGTGGATGGCTAAGAGACACTTTCAAGTATCTTATTTCTTGAGAAAGATGTAATCTAAGTGTTTCGCCTCTACCCTTGGCTTCAGGAGACAGAAAAAAGAGGGTCTCTGGACACAGATGTGATAAGGGAGAGAGTTGTAGGCAAGGAGTGATGAAGTGGGCTAGCCCTCGGCTAGAGAGTTGTAGGCAAGAAGTGATGGAGACTTAGCCCTTGGCTCTACAGAAGCTGGCAGAGTGCCCATCCAGCTGCCCACCGTGCTGACAGAGGGCCGGATTCTCTCCTTTCCAGCTGTCTCTCCATTCAAAACTCCCAACACCCCCATGGGATTCTGCTGTGATTGTGTCCACTTGGAGGGGGGATCTTGCTCACAGAAAAGCTCCCAGGCAATGACACAGCCACGCTTTGGTCCTTCAACATTACTGTGTATGTCCCCAGGTGTCTTCTTCCTCAGTACTCTATGGGGAACCTGTGCCCAGGAGGTGAGCTGAGAAGGAGGAACATGCCCAGATCCTCTGTGCAGTCTTTGTATATCTCCCCAGGTGTAATGTCATCTACACTGTGACCAGGTAGGTGCCTCTACCACCTGTGCCCCTGACAGAGCTGCAGCCTTACTGCCCTACAGGCTGCACAGCTAGTGACGACTTTATGCCCAAAGAAAACTGAAATTACCAATGTGCTTGAAATTAGCATCTTGTTCTCAAAGGACATCTGATCTGTGCAGGCCTTCACTGTCATCTTGGCCACAATGATTTCTTGAGGTGGGTCATATAGTATCTGAAGTGTAGCTTTGTAGGCAGGCATGCTTAGAAAGAGGAACTTTTCCACTTCAGTTACCAAAGCTGGACAGGTGATCCCATTGGCTGGTGAAGAAACAGAACTACAATCAATGTAAGGAAAATCACGTTTTCTCCCTGGCTCCCTGAAGTCAGATCTAGACAGGAACCCCGGAGGGCTTGTGATCTCATCCCACAATAATGCCAATGACAATGCCTGACCTTGGAAGCTGTGACCCCCTTATGTTGGAGAGCAAGCAGCAGAGCCAGTACTAGAATATAGGCTTACTCACCCCTGGTTCAGTTTTTTAAAAAAGATTTTATTTATTTAACAGAGAGAGAGCATAAGTAGGCGGAGCAGCAGGCAGAGGGAGAAGCAGGCTCCCCGCTGAGCAGGGAGCCCAATGTGGGACTCGATCCCAGGACCCTGGGATCACGACCTGAGTGGAAAGCAGATGCTTAAGGACTGAGCCTCCCAGGCATTCCCTTAGTTCGTTCAGTTTTTATCTTTTTAAAGCACATCCCTTCCTTTCTAAGTCTCTCTTCATGCTGAAATTATCTTTCTTTCTCTCTTTTTTAAAAATTATTTATTTCTTTTCAGCATAACAGAATTCATTGTTTATGCACCACACCCAGTGCTCCATGCAATACGTGCCCTCCTTAATACCCACCACCTGGCTCCCCCAACCTCCCACCCCCCTGCCCCTTCAAAACCCTCAGGTTGTTTTTCAGAGTCCATACTCTCTCATGATTCACCTCCCCTTCCAATTTCCCTCAACTCCCTTCTCCTCTCCATCTCCCCTTGTCCTCCATGTTATTTGTTATGCTCCACAAATAAGTGAAACCAGATGATAACTGACTCTCTCTGCTTGGCTTATTTCACTCAGCATAATCTCTTCCAGTCCTGTCCATGTTGCTACAAAAGTTGGGTATTCATCCTTTCTGATGGAGGCATCATACTCCATAGTGTATATGGACCACATCTTCCTTATCCATTCGTCCGTTGAAGGGCATCTTGGTTCTTTCCACAGTTTGGCGACCGTGGCCATTGCTGCTATGAATGTAGGGGTACAGATGGCCCTTCTTTTCACTACATCTGTATCTTTGGGGTAAATACCCAGTAGTGCAATTGTAGGGTCATAGGGAAGCTGTATTTTTAATTTCTTGAGGAATCTCCACACTGTTCTCCAAAGTGACTGTACCAACTTGCATTCCCACCAACAGTGTAAGAGGGTTCTCCTTTCTCCACATCCTCTCCAACACTTGTTGTTTACTGTCTTGCTAATTTTGGCCATTCTGACTGGTGTAAGGTAGTATCTCAATGTGGTTTTAATTTGAATCTCCCCGATGGCTAGTGATGATGAACATTTTTTCATGTGAAATTGTCTTTCTTTTTATTTAAAACAATTGTGTGCTTGAATGGAATGACACCTTTTTTTTTGGTCTTGGATATTGGGGGAGAGGAGATTTACTAATCAATATTTAAGTGAATGGTAGAGTTAGACCATTCCAGGGAGCTTGAAGGGGTGGGTTAATCTGGAAAAGAGGTTACCCTATTTATTTATTTATTTACTTACTTATTTATATTAGTCACCATACAGTACATCATTAGTTTTTGATGTAGTGTTCCAAGATTCACTGTTTACATATAATACCCAGTGCTCCATGCAATACATGCCCTCCTTAATACCCATCACGGGCCAACCCATCCCCCCACACCCATCCCCTCTAAAACCCTTTGTTTGTTTCTTGGAGTTCACAGTCTCTCATGGTTCATCTCCCCCTCTGATTCCCCACTTCATTTTCCCCTTCCTTCTCCTAATGTCCTCCATGCTATTCTTTATGCTCCATGAGTAAGTGAAACGATATAATAATTGACTTTCTCTGCTTGACTTATTTCACTCAGCATAATAATTTTTTAAAAGATAAATACTTTTAAAAAGATAAATAAAAAATGAAAATATTTCTTTTTTAAAAAGAGAGAAGAAGAGAGAGAGGAAGAACAGGCATGGGGAGTGGCAAGCAGAGGGAAAGGGAAAAACAGCCTCCCTTAACCACCTGAGCTGGTTAGGGCCCCCAAGTTCACAGTATATGTAGGAAGATGCTAGTTTGAAACTAAAGAATAAGATTGTGTCACTGGATGCAGATATGGTTAAAAAGCTATACACACTCATACAAACACAACTCCCTCAAACACAAAAAACATACAAACACAACTCATCCCAAACACAACTAATCAGTTTGAACACATGTGAAAGATTATCCACAAAGTTATGACTGGCTCTTTTCTTACAACAGTGATGTGCAGAACATCTTAGAGGGGGTGAGAGGCAGGACTGGGGCTCTTTCCTGACCCCACTGTAACTGTGTGGAAATCTGAAGTGACTTCTTCTCTTAGTGTGCATTCTCTATCCCTCCAAGTCTTTGTAACCACTGTAGTCAAGTAGGCTACAACCCTACCAGGCTCTGATTGGACGCCTGAACAGATGTCAAACTATGCAAAGGATTTGAGAGGTTTAAGTCAGAGGCAATAGAGGGAAAGAGGAGGACTTGAGAGAGTGAGATGAAATAGAAAGACTGAAGAAGGCTTGGGTCAGTATCAAGGGTAAGAAGCCATGCAAAAATATTGTGGAATGGTTGGCCATAATTAATCTAGATAAATAGAAATCTCACCCCTCCGAGTGTACTTGTTCTATTACAAAATACTGGTAACACTCTTGGAAAATGAGAAAACTGGTAGATATAGTGAGATCTACTCACTAGTAGATTTAGTGAGTGAGTGCTGCTTATTTCCAGAACCCCCTTGAAAATTATTATCAGAGATTAAGAGAACACTGGTACTTCTGGAAGTGAGAACTCTTTCCAAACCCTTCCAACTGTATCATTTTATGAGTCTGAATCCATGAGTGAAAAAGCTGTGGACTCCACTACCACCTGAAAAACTCTGGGGAGGAGAATGTCTGCGAACTACCAGTTATCAGTTTGGCAGCCAAAGCTAGACCCTTGACACTGTTAATCTCAGTCCATTGCTATAGCTACTCTTGTGGTATCTGTTGAACCCAATGATAAAAGAGGACTTGGAGGGGCGCCTGGGTGGCTCAGTGGGTTAAAACCTCTGCCTTTGGCTCAGGTCATGATCTCAGGGTCCTGGAATCAAGCCCCACATCAAGCTCTCTCCTCAGTGGGCAGCCTGCTCCTCCCTCTCTCTCTGCCTGCCTCTCTGCCTACTTGTGATCTCTGTCAAATAAATAAATAAAATCTTAAAAAAAAAAAGGGACTTGGAGAGATAAAGCATTTTGTTGAAGATAGGTTCTGGTAAGTGGCAGAACCATGATTCAAACCTAAATCCATGTCCTCTTGCTTCTGAAACACAGATCACAGATAAGGAGAGAGGTTTCAGTGAAAAACTTAAAATTTGTCTGCAATAATTTTTAAAACTTCCAGGGTGTTGGGCACTGAGAAAAAGAGCATGGGTTTTGGAGGTGGGGTGGGGGAGTAAAAAACGGGAAAGCCACTTCGGTTCACCTAGTTCAGAGAAGGGTACTCACCAGGGCTGGTGCCTGTCTGATGAGAAATGATACTCACCCTTGGAACAGCAAAGAGCCAGAGTGACCAGCAGAACACTCAGGAACAGCCTCATGGTTTGTTTTGCTTTGAGTTTTTAGCTTTAGTGAAAAGAAACTAGAAGCTGAAACAGGATGCTGGAGAGCTCAGGAGAATTTATACATAGAGAGCCTCCCTGGTGTTGCCCAAATAAACATGTGGTTGGGCCACAGTTCTGGCTTCCAGCCCTCCATTCCTCTCTCAGGTCTCATGCCATCTATTGAAGTCACAGACCCCAAAGTCATGATCAGAGTTCCTGTTTATAGGCATTGCTGGCAGCATGCACCTCTCCTTTGTAGCAAACACTGAGATTGTAATTTTACAAATGTATGGCCAATTAATTGATGCACACCCACCCTGGATGTTAGCTCCTGAACTGCAGTGGTAGCCTCTGGTTTTGCTCATCCTTACTTAACATATGGTTGGCACACAGGAGAGGAAAAGCAAATATTCTTGGAATAAATGAATAAGTATGAATCAACAAACTACTAAAGTTGGCTGGGATGTATCTTCAGTATGAAATGATGCCTGCCATGCCAAGTTTCCCTCTGGGCAGGTGAGGGAGAAAGGTTATTACCTTGGTGACCCCAGTGGGAGTAATGAGTGGTTTTCTGTAACTCAGGGGAAGACAATGCCAAGAGGAAGGCTACCTCAATAGTAATTTCTTATTCTAAGCTAACATTTTAAAAAAATCAAAAGAAATTTGAAATCAAATCAGGCTCTACATGGAGAAGAAGAAGCTCCTTCTTAGTTTTACTTGTCACCTGGAAGGGTCACACATTGGAGTCCCAGGATCCAGGCAATAGAGCTCCCCACAGGGGCTCTTCCTCTACCTCTCCCCAACTATAAGCAGTGTGCTCTATGGAACACAGAGAAGGTGTGGAAAATTCTTATTAAAGGCATTGGAATATCTGGTTATCCAGAGGAGCATATGGGAGGGCCATTCAAGAGTATATAGAATTCTTCCTGGAAGAAATGGCTGGGGGAGTGATGGTGAGGGAACAGCATGAGGGGAGATGAGAAGGCATAAACCATGTTTCTGAGGGAATATCAGGTACTTAGGTTACCCCGAAACATATACTACACACAACAATGCATGGTGGCAGTGGAAAGGCTTTGTGGCTGGAGAGATGGGATGGGTCAAATCGAGGAGAGTTTCCATTGTACTCTGTGGGGGCAGAATGGTGATGGGGTGAGACACATCTAGGTTTATTGGCATTAGTGCTTTCATGCTGAGCTTCAGATCACATGTCAAAATCACATGGGCTTTTTACACCCATTATGATAGCTACTGTAAAAAAAGAATGAAAGAAGGAATAAGTGTTGGCAGGGATTTGAAGGAACAAGATCCCTTGTATATTTTAGTGGGAAGGTAAAATGGTGTAGCCTCTGAGAATAAGTGCCTGGAGGTCCTTTCAAAAATTAAAAGGAAAGTTAATATGATCAGTGGAAATGACCTTTCAGTACCTGTACAAAAGAATTGAAAGCAGAGTCCCAAACATATTTGCGTACTCATGTTTATAGCAGCATTATTCACAATAACCAAGAGGTGGAAAGAACCCAGTGTTTATGGGGTACATACATAAAATATAGGATTAGTCACATTCAGATATATAAAAACAAGGAAAGCCTGTCACATGCTACAACATGGGTGAACCTTAAAGCCAGTACACTAAGGAACAGAAACCAGTAAAAGGAGAAAATACTGATGATTCGACAAATATGAGGTTCCTAGAGTAGTCAATTTCATAGAAATAGAGAGTAAATGGTGGTTGCCAGGGGTTGGGGGAAGTAAAATATCACGTTCAATAAAAATTGAGTCATCTACAATAACAGTGGGCTGATGATATCTGGAAACATACCGCTGTAGTCCTCCCTACAGGTTCTTTGGGTTGCAACCCTCCAGTAGCCAATAATAATAGCGGTAATAAAATTAATAGCACTTATTTTTGCTTGCTACCTATGACCAGAGAATGTGGAAACCTAATTTATCATCTTCAGTCATTGCTACAAATCTCCAAGGCATTAGGTTTCCTATTTAAAGATTTTTGTTTATTTATTTGACAGAGATCACAAGTAGGCAGAGAGGCAGGCAGAGAGAGAGGAGGAGGAAGCAGGCTCCCTGCTGAGCAGAGACCCTGTTGCGGGGCTCGATCCCAGGACCCTGGGACCATGACCAGAGCTTAAGGCAGAGGATTTAACCCACTGAGCCTCCCAGGCGCCCCTAGGTTTCCTATTTAACAGTTGAGCCAACTAAGCTGCAGAAAGTAAAAACTTGCTCGATCTTGTTCAGTTTGGAAGCCAGTAGGTCTAGCTCAGACAGGATGGTATGTGAATTAAAAATTAACAAAGTAACAAAGTGATGCTCTCAGGGAAGGCTGGAGGTGATGATGACCTGTCAGATGAAACAGAGGTATGTGGCAGTGAGGTTCTCTGCTTGGATCTCAGTTTCTGACTCAGTTGAATTCTTCTGAGTGATGATCCTCAAGGTACTTTCTTCATTTCTCTCTCCAGTTCTCTTCTTTTTTACTTAAAAAATAAAAAGATAAATTGCTGTCGACAGCAAATGCTCTCAGGGATGTGGAGCAACAGGAGCTCTCATTCGTTGTGGGATGCAGATTGGCACAGCTACTTTGGAAAAAGGTTAGCAGTTTCTTATAAAAGTAAACATTGTGACCAATGATCTAGCAATTGCATTTCTTGGTATTTATGCTAAGAACTGAAGACAAGTCTACATGGAATCTGCATGTGTTGTTCATGGCACTTTCATTAATAGTTGCCTAAATTCAGATGCAATCCAGATTTTCTTCTGTAGGTCAATGGATAAAGAAACTGTGGTACCTTCAGACAATGGAATATAGTTCTAACATTCTTTGGAATTGATCTCTTTTTTATTTTCTGTTTTATTTTATTAACATATAATGTATTATTTGCTTCAGGGGTACAGGTCTGTGAATCATCAGTCTTACACAATTCACAGCACTCACCATAGCACATACCCTCCCCAATGTCCATAACCCAGCCGCCCTATCCCTCCCCACAACCACCCAGCAACCCTCAGTTTGGTTTCCCGAGATTAAGAGTCTCTTATGGTCTGTCTACCTCCCTGGTCCCATCTTGTTTCATTTTTTTCCCTCCCTTCCCCTCATGACCTCCTGCCCTGCCTCTCAAATTCCTCATATCAGAGAGATCACATGATAATTGTCTTTCTCTGATTGACTTATTTTGCTTAGCATAATGCCTTCTAGTTCTATCCACATCGTTGCAAATGGCAAGATTTAGGATTTTTATGGCTGCATAGTATTCCATTGTAAATATATACTACATCTTCTTTATCTATTCATCTGTTGATGGACATCTAGGTTCTTTTCATAGTTCAGCTATTGTGGACATTGTTGCTATAAGCATTCAGGTGCATGTGCCCCTTCAGATCACCACACTTGTATCTTTAGGGTAAATACCCAGTAGTGCGATTGCTGGCTCATAAGGTAGATCTATTTTTAACTTTTTGAGGAACCTCCATACTGTTTTCCAGAGTGGCTGCACCAGCTTGCATTCCCACCAACAGTGTAGGAGGGTTCCCTTTTCTCTACATCCTCACCAACATCTGTCATTTCCTATTGTTAATTTTAGCCATTCTGACTCGTGTGAGGTAGTATCTCACTGTGGTTTTGATTTGTATTTCCCTGATGACTAGTGATGTCGAGCATTTTTTCATGTATCTGCTGGCCATTTGGATGTCTTCTTTGCAGAAGTGTCTGTTCATGTCTTCTGTCCATTTCTTGATTGGATTATTTGTTCTTTGGGTGTTGAGTTTGATAAGTTCTTTATGGATTTTGGATACTAGCCCTTTATCTGATATGTCATTTGCAAATATCTTCTCCCATTCTGTCAGTTGTCTTTTGGTTTTGTTGGTAAGGGTATCATATGGTTCTTGTTTTTTCTTTTATTAATGTATTGTATCACATTGATTGATTTGTGGATGTTGAACCAAACTTGCAGCCCAGGAATAAATCCCACTTGGTCATGATGAATAATCCTTTTAATGTTATGTTGGACCCTATTGACTAGTATTTTGGTGAGAATTTTTGCATCCATGTTCATCAAGGATATTGGTCTGTAATTCTCTTTTTTGATGGTGTCTTTGTCTGGTTTTGGGATCAAGGTAATGCTGGCCTCATAAGATGAGTTTGGAAGTTTTCCTTCTATTTCTATTTTTTTTGGAACAGTTTCAGGAGAATTGGTATTAATTCTTAAATGTTTGGTAGAATTCCCCTAGGAAGCTGTCTGGCCCTGGGCTCTTGTTTGTTGGGAGATTTTTGATGACTGTTTCAATCTCCTTACTGGTTATGGGTCTGTTCAAATTTTCTATTTCTTTCTGGTTCAGTTGTGGTAGTTTATATGTCTCTAGGAATTCATCCATTTTTTCCAGATTGTCAAATTTGCTAGTGTATAGTTGCTCGTAATATGTTCTTATAATTGTTTGTATTTCTTTAGTGTTGGTTGTGATCTCTCCTCTTTCATTCATGATTTTATTAATTTGGGCCCTTTCTCTTCTGTTTTTGATAAGTCTGGCCAGGGGTTTATCAATCTTATTCTTTCAAAGAACCAGCTCCTAGTTTCATTGATTTGTTCTACTGTTCTTTTGGTTTCATTGATTTCTGCTCAGATCTTTATTATTTCTTGTCTCCTGCTGGGTTTAGGCTTTCATTGCTGTTCTTTCTCCAGTTCCTTTAGGTGTAGGGCTAGGTTGTGTACTTGAGATCTTTCTCGTTCCTTGAGAAAGGCTTGTCACTATATACTTTCCTCTCAGGATCACCTTTGCTGAGTCCCAAAGATTTTGAACAGTTATGTTTTCATTTTCATTTGTTTCCATGAATTCTTTTAATTTTTTAATTTCCTGGTTGACCCATTCATTCTTTAGTAGGATTCTCTTTAGCCTTCATGTATTTGAGTTCTTTCCAACTTTCCTCTTGTGGTTGAGTTCTAGTTTCAAAGCATTGTGGTCTGAAAATATGCAGGGAATTATCCCAATAT